CCACATTCAAAGCTCAAAATCTGAGGAGGCACCGTGTAAGGGATTAGCATGTAGATTCTGAAAGTCCAAAGGCATGAATTAAGATCCTGTGCTAAAATCACACGAGTTAGGTGGCTAATGGCCCTGCAGATGTAATATCCTTCTCTCCTTCTTGGGCTCAAGCACACTTCCTTCTTCTTCTCTGATACACTTATGTTCAGGGGAGTGTTTCTGCCCTTTCCCAAGACAAGAAAAACACTGCAGTTTTAGGATTTCGATCCTAACATGTGGACACCGAGATGAAACGTCCTAGCTCAGCACCTGCTGATAGTTCCTTCTGATTTGCAGACAAGAAAGTATGGATCAGATGAACTACCTGATCATTCCCCTGATCTCAAACAGATCTGTTCTTCTCACTCTCTGCTTATTCCAGTGACAGGTTTTCCACAGAGAAGCCTCCACACGCCTCTGCCACCTTGAGACAATGTCCACTTTAAGATCGTTTCTCACCTTTTCAAAGCTGCAGTGGACAACATCTGAGCTCTTAAAAAAAAAACACGCGCTATTTCAACACAGTATAGATACACATCAGAACACTGTCAAGAGAAACATGAGTGTTACCACAGCATCTAGCATAGCACTTGACTGATAACATTTTTACACTGTTTTCTGTTTAGTCTGGTTTTCTTATTGCAAAGGATATTTAATCTGCTGGAATCCCACCCATGCTATAAACACAAGTGACCTTATTCTGTGTTTCACTACATTTCCTCATTGCAGGCTGTTGCTTGGCTTGTCTTACCTAAAAATTTCTCATCATGGGTGCTTCTTTTTAAAAAAGGAACTACGAATTGTGATTCAGGACCTATAGATGTTTACAGCAGTGCGTAAGCAAGTGCATTTATGAATAAAGCTGAAGAAGCTCTTAAGTGCATACATAGGTTTATAGTGCTTGAAAAGAGGAAAAGTGAAAAATATGCAGACTATTGCTTAATACTGGGTCAATACAATATCCAGTAACTTTTTAATAGAACTGAAGTTTCTGCTGCAAATTTGGCTAAGATATTCTAAAATGAGTAAATACCACAAAACAATGACAGTGTTGCTGTATTTGTCTCCTAGCTACACCACTTAGACCTAGCAAATAACAGGACAGGTCATGAGTCAGCCATGAGAACGGAAGGAGCCTCAAAAACAAAGGAAAATTAACCTTTAGACAGAGCTTACAACTCCACAGCTAATATCTGTCAAGAAACACTGAACAGAGAAAGATCGCTCACTGTACATTACAAGTTTACGTAACAGGAGAATCATTAACAATTTTTAGCAAATATATTTAAGATATTAAGCATCTGATGGAAACTAACCCAAAGATCTTACTGTGAAGACAGTCAATGGCCTAAATCACGGTGGCAAAGGCCAGACACAGCAAGAGCAGGGGCAGAGAGAGGGAGGAGGAGAGGAAGGGAAAAAAAGAGCTGGTGGCTGAAAGAGGCAACAGCAAATCAAGAAGTTCCCTTTACAGAAGCCTAGCTCCTTCTCCTACCTATCTTTTGTGGACACCATACTGAAATAGGCATTTTAGGCAACAGGCTGGAGGTCAGAGAGGGCCACTGCTCACTGATCAGACTGGGGAGTTGGGGGAAGGATAGTAAGGAAGTTTTCAAGGCTGCCACTGCCTACAAAAGGAATGGGAATGTGAAAAGAATTTTTCCTTAGAGATTCAAGAGCCGGAGCTCTTCAGGGAAGGATCTTCTGCAAACGGATGTAATATTGTTAAGTTCAGAGCTGCATGAGAAATGCGCGTGCTGGTCAAGTGAAATGATAAGATGAAAGTGAGTCCAGAAAGTCTGGAAACAAACGCTTTAGGGTATGAACAGCATTCCTCATCAGCTACAGGTCAGACACAAGTCTGAGTACATTACAGTGATGCCTCACATGGCCATAGCTTTGGTCCAGTTCTTTGGCATGTCAGGAGAATACGATGCGCTCTGATGTTTGTACTGATGAGGCCTTTCCTATACTTCAAAAGGTCCTATGAAAGGTTTGCATTTTCGAATTCTGCTCTCCTTCTAACCTAAACAGCTGCTAAGAGGTAGATAAGGGAGACATTATAAAACATAGACTTAATTAGTATGAGCACATTGCAAAATGAAAGTAATACTTACAAACTTTGGTCTGTACTTTACACTAAAGGTAGAGCTGCAAACAGTTTACATGTACTTATGCCACAAAAATTGTAAAGACATGAGCAGTACTTGTCAAAAAGTCTACAAGCACTTCAGAAGAGTCATAAGCATACAGCTAACTTGCTGGGACTCCACAATAAACTGTTAATCATTTATTACGTATCAATTAATCATTAAGTCCTCATTAATTTTTTATGAGTGTACTCTTAACAAAAATCTATACCCAGGCTGGCAGTTTGAAAATTTCATAATTGTTTTTGAGAAGCTCTAGTCTAAGGCTGGCCAGCAGCTCTTGTTACTCCTCCACAGAGAAACCATGAGGACCCAGAATACTCTTTTCAGTCTTCCAAAATCCTGTCTGTGGGCTCAGAAACCCATTGCTGTGTGGCAATGAACACGGTTTAGCAATTTTTAATTTGGGATTTAGCTGAAAGGAAATAAAAATCCAATTAACATTTTTGCTCATGCGAGTCTGATTTTGCTGAATGTTGAAGGATGACTGGGATGGTGTTCAGAATACTTCTGACTAAATTACATTTTGTCTAAATACAATGCTCCATCAAAACTAAAATATTTCTGAGATTTATCAGATTAAATGAGGCTTCACGGTGCTGTACTGCATTCCCTGAGTAATTCTGAGGGTTAGGACAGACACTTGTTTAGGTCTTACCATGGGGAGAGGTCAGTAAAAAAGCCTAGATATGTGGGGACTGGAAAGAAAAAGAAAAAAAAGTTCATACACTTTTGTTAGGAAAAAATATCTGAAAGGTTTCATATTAGTTGCAATGTAGTATAAAAATAAATGTAAAAACATCAAAATCTGTTGTCAAACGGAGTTGTTATACTACAGGCACCTGTAACCACTGGCCTGAAGGTATCCTTGCCTAGGATAGTCGACATCAAGATTACTTTTGGAGAGTGTGGTGACACAAAAAAAAAAAAAAAAGATTCAGCTTATTCCTCTATCTAGACAGTGGCTGCACATGCAATGAGCGCAAATGAGATCAGTCACCTGACGAGAACTAAAGTTTCACACTATCAGGCCACCTACAGTAGGTATTTTAGCAGCTATCTCAAGTATCCTTTAATTCTGGAAAGATTGGGCTGTTAAAGACTGTACAGAGTAGAGAATTATGCAGACCAGGGACCAATGTTTTCAGGATATCTTAGGTGCAGTAACAGTGCTAACAGTTTTTAAATCTCAACATACCTTTATAAATTAGGAATTAGCAGAAGACAGAAAAAGGATCATGTTCCTACACCTCCATCATGAAACATCAGGCAGATGCCGAGTTCCCTTACATCCTCAACAGAGTATGTGTGGATCATTTTAATTATGCATACACTGCTGACAAGCTTGCTCTTTATGCATTTATTAAAGATGATTAAAAATAGTTAAAACTGTATTAATATGTTTATATCATTTATGACAAATCATGACTAATCAATTTGAACTGCAAAATTCAAGTGATTTAAAATAGAATTAAGACTCCCGGTTATTCCTACTGAATTTTGCTAATTACACACAAAAGATCATTTACACTCGTATTCACAGCATTACAACATGACACAGAGGATATTTCATCTTACTTTATCGATCCTTTCTTCATACAGCTGTGGAGACTAATTCACAATTCTACTTGCTTGCACTGGGTAAATGCAGGGCACTCTTCCACCATCTCATTAGTAAGAGAAGAGGAGAACAGTTTGGCCTCTTTACAGGGCCTGCTTTGCCAGTCTGTATAGCAACTACGTATATCAGTCCGATTTCAAATAATAAAGAAGACAGATCTCCATGCTAATTAATGCTCGAAATACATCTAAAACCAGCACCAGCAGGAAGCTGAGTCAAATGGCATTACTAGACCAGATTTCCTGTCTTATTTCTATTAATCACCACTGGGCTGGTTCTGTGTAGGCCACACTAGGTTAATCTAGAACTAATGATTTTGGATCACTGAATACTGTCTAATTTAGGATGGCACCAGAGTAGGTTACATCACCCCGTAGAGGCTCCAGCTGTCACTACCTGTAAAATTTTTAATTCAAATCACCACTTCCAATCAGTCGCAAGCAAATTTCCAGTAAGATCTCTTGCTTCAATGTTAACCAGATTAATTTGATGCAATGCTCACTCTTTCTTTGTGAACAGTGAATCTTTCAAGCAATACAAGCACAACTATAGTAGTAAAACTCTTCACTTTTCCTGGAAAGCTGAAGTTAATACTTTGACAGCATAGGCATTAAAATGAACCTGGGGAGTTTCCCATTAGCAAAAAGGATTGTTTGTTGCTATGACTTTGACTCATAACATTTTTGGGAATCTGGATAGGTTACCTCATCAAGTGTTTCTATTTCTTAGCTGTTTAGATAAACCAGCTTTTAAACATTTTCGTCCTCTCTAGGTACATTTGACATTACTGAAAACATTTTATGTGCAGCTCTGTACTTCAACATTCACCTACTCCAAGCGAGGCAGACATGGAGCAACTCAAATCTCTCCCACTCTGAATAATTTGCTGTGTTTATTTTTCCCATCCTATCTAAACACAGCAGGGAGGGGAAGAGGTGAAGAGCTGCCCAATGAACAATACTGCTACTTCCCATGACAACCCTAAGAATGCCTGATCGTCCTACAAACCAAATTATAAACTCATAGGGCCCAACCATTTCAGCAGTACCAGGGGCTTCTGCAGATGGCTTTGCCTGTTTCTAATGCTGCTATACAGCAACTGGCTCCACAGCACAACTGGGTGCAGAGGTAAGTGGCATTTCAGTTGTGTTGGAAAGTGGTCATTATGCCTGAAAAGCTGGCCAAAATTATTCTTGGGTGAGAACAGGAAATGTTAAATGCAAGAAAATGTAGTACAGCACAACCCCATCATGCTGATCTTTTGCTATATCTACGCTTGAGAGGGAAGTGTATGAAACTGCTTCATAAAAAGACTGAAAGGAAACAGCCAGGAAAAAACAAGGACAAACTACCTCAGTTAATATTTTTACAAACTACAGAGATGCATGCAAATCAAGCAAGCCTCATACTGCCTACAGTATATAATGATGGCATTATTATAAACTGTGTCTAACCAGGAAAATATCTATTAACATAAAATTTCATTCCTTACTTGCAAATTGAGCAAAATCATGGAAGCTGTAATAAATTAAACCAAGTTTAGAAACAAAACAGCACTGTGATGAACACATCACCCATAGCATTATATAGCTACAGTGATTTTCCATGCAGTTGTAGTGCTACAGGTGGATCACACTTTGGAAGAGAAAGACAAAATATGTGCACTTACATGGTATCACATTATATAAATACTGCCAACTTATTTCCCTTATTAGTTCAACACCTAATCATCAGAGTCTTTCTCACTGGGTTATCTCAACTATGGTCTCTGAAACTGAAAATTCAAAGCCTGATTTTTGATTCAAATCATGTATTTAAAAATATTTTTGAAGTACTTAACAGTTTCAGAAAAGGGAAAGAAAATTTTTATATTTTTATTTTAAGATGATGAATTAATCAAACACATACTCAAAGGTGTACTTGGTCATGAGGCCAGCATACTGTGGTAACATTACTTGCTGAAGAAACAGCTAATAACACGCGCACATGGAATAGAATTACTCAATGTGTAGGCTAGGAAAATTATTGTCACAATGGAAAAAAAAGAGATATTTTGCAAAATGTAAAGATAAGCCTGTTTTTTCACAAAAGTGTTGGTGTTAGTTCTTAATAAAGGATTTCAACAAATTAATTATTACCTGATTCGCATACTATGGAGCCTGGCTTCAGCTCTAACATCATGGTGATTACGGAGATGTCAGTGGAATACAGAATCTGTGTCCTGTGCGGAAGATTCATGGTCCACAGTTCTGGAGTTGGATGAAGAATAAACACCCATCCTCCTTTACTGCAGGTCACTTTGGAGCCGTACTTCTTGCCAATGAGATCTGTGGAATGCCTGATGACCCCGTACTTAGTCTGAGTTACAGTGCCGTGCTGGACTTTCACGGGAAACATGGATTCGTGTCCCAAGAACACAATAGCCGTGTCACCATCTTTTATTGTATCTCCATATTCAACAAAACTCATTGTTGACGGTCTTGTCGTTGGCAGGTGGTTGTCACCTAGAAGAGAATAAATATGCCAAGAGAGTTTTGCAGAATCGCAATGGAGCCGAAACCACAGATATTTTGTTTTCCCCTATACAGAATAAGGGGAAATAGAATAAGAACACACTGTGCAAATAAGATGTTAGCAAGAGAACTCCATGAAGTTCAGGGACCTCCCCCTGCCACACTCTTGACCCAATTAAAATCAATGGAAAGATCCCACAGATTTGAATATAACCAGTATTTTTCCCATTTTATGGTACATTTTAAAGAAAATTTAGCAAATACATCATAATTTACTCAGCCTGATCCATGAAACTACTGAGAAACTTGCAAGGTAGTATCAATTTCAACACTCTGTTCAATTCCAGTTCACAAGCTCTCAGAGTACGTTGTTATGTAGTAACTTTTATTTTCATCTGCTGGCTTATCCCTTGGTGATTCACAACATAAGATAGCAATCTTATGATATCAAGCCTGGATGTCAATCACTAGTTATTAGGACCACTAACAAAAGTTTACTTGAAAGTCTTCCCAATGAAGGTTTAGAGATAGGATAAAGATAGTATCTGCATTAATTCATGTTTAAATTTCACTAACTACAAGGAAAAATTAATATTGTGGCCTCTAATTTGCCATTGGGGGTGCAAAGTAATTCTCTGGGAAGTGATCTGTGCTGCAACTAAATGTGAACAAGCATTTGCAAGCTAGTGCACAGTCGTATCATTTTAGCCCCGTGGTCTCAGAGCTGTTTAGAGAATTACAATTAAATTTTGCTGTCTTTGAGAAGACAACCTAGAAATGAGAAGGCAGCTTACAATGAAACTTGGCATTGCCTTTCAGACAAGACAGCTAAGCATTTAAGCTGCAGATTGATTAATTCATAGAAGGAATTGTTTAATGAAGTAATAGTGATCCCAAAGTTAGAATTAAAGCCTATGACAGAAGGCTTTGCAAATCAGACTTCTGGTACTTCTTCCACAAGAGAATTAAAAGGAGCATCACTTTTAGTTTCAGAATAATGACGTTTCCTGTACTTTTTAATTGAATGCATAACAGCTTGGTTCTACATCATTGTTTTCATTAAAAACTTTTAGTTCTCAAATTCTAATCTAGTTTTGTTGAGCAAAACTTGTTGTAGTTCAATTTGCTGTTAAGCAGATAGATTTATAATGTTTCTGCTGCAGTCACTGAGACTGATAAACAGATGTGCTTGTGGTGAAAACTTCCAAAGCTTATGACATGCTTATTGCATAAGGTATTCAGATGCCAAAGAAGAATAGGCCTGTCTGGACATATGGTGAAATAGCAAGAAGGGCATCCCATGAATTCAGAAATGTATAAATACTGAACTTTGCGAGACAGTACAAATGCTTAACCGTGTTTTATAGCTTGCACCTTCTGATTATATTAATGTGCTTGATATTTCGTAAGTGACATTTGTAGCGCTCATTCTAGATACTATCAACACAACACAGTTTTCAGCTCTGAGTTAGAACAGTATCATTTGAAAGGAGCTCAACTGCAATCCATTTCTTTCACAGTATTTAGACTGAAGTTACACCCATGTACAAAGGCAACATTCCTGCAGCATGTCTGCAGGGACATGGAGAGAACTATTCTCCCTTTGATTACACAAACTGGCTTCCAGTTTCTTTGCCTTCCTTTGAGCCACTACACTTACCGCAGCCAATTGTCACAACAGCGTACACCGACATCCCAAGTGACCAATCTCTCAGGCTCAGGTCCCACCTGACACATTATGTTCATACACTTGGGGTAAAAGTGGGGTCTGTGAGGAGTTTTGGTAGTTTCTTTGTCTCCCATGGCAAGGAGCACAGTGATCTACACTCATTTTCACTCACTTTGCATTCCCTACCAACGCAGAGCCTCATTGTCACATTTCTGTCCTTTACTCTCTGGGTAGCACACAGGTGTCTCGGTACAGCATCACTTTTGCCATGGTGCTGTGGAGCGGGAGTGGAAGGGAAGATGAGGCAGTGCCCTGTGACGAGGAGTCAGGACTTTTCCACGGGCTTGCCATGACTGCTGCTACCTAAACTCGATGATGCAGGCGACCCCTCGCAGCCTCACAAATTAAACGACTCAAATGATTCCGTGTTCCCGAGACCCAGATACACCGCTCCCTCTCCTGACTAGCTTCCACACAGGCCTGGCA